TTGTTTCTGTTTGCTGGCATCTGCTGTATTTTAGTAATTTGGCTCTGAGGAAGGAGGGAAAAGGAAAAACATGGTGGGGAGAAATACAGGTTAGAAAACCATAAATCTTGAGAAAAATAAGACTGCAATCTGCCCATCAACCTTAAGTTTAAATTCAGTCAAATACCAATCGGCAATTTTATTTTCGCTTAAGAAGAAAATGAAAAATCAACTTGCTACTTCACTTTCTCAGGAGTAAAATCTAACCAATAGCTGTAACCTAGTAGTTTCTACAATAAATTCAGGGGAACAGAATATGTTCATATTTTTCTTACCATAAAATGGACCAGCCAACACTTCCAGACTACACCTGAACTACATTTTTGCATAGCACTTAGCAGAGAATATTGTCTTCAGTTAGACCACTAGTGAAACTGCTATCTTATGTCAGCCTTAATACTTGATAACAACAGGGAGTCACTGCAAGTGACATCTGTGATGGAGGCTGTACTGTAGTTATCCTGACACAAACTTGTAATCAAGTTGAAAACGTTTGATATTTGATACATCAATTGAATAAAAGTCAACCACTAAAGTTGATGTAGGACTAGTTCCACAGTTCCATAGAGGGAACTGTGGGGTATTCTGTATGGCATCTTAAACTTATGTGCTTACTGCTGTGTCTCGCTCATGACAGCTTGGTTTGTTTGGCGTGCCCACTACAGCAGTCGGCAAAGAGAGATCATATTCAATACACATAATACAGATATCTACCAACTTCAGTGTTCAGCCTGCTTCCCTCTGACTAAATAGTGAGCCAGGATTTTGCAGCCTTGGAAAGCAGATGATATAAAGTATTTTGTCATCTTCTGGTCTTAAAAACTCATACAGACACCACATTTATTTGTAGGTCAGTTGGTTGATGTGGCATCTCCTTGACTATGGATCATGATAGCCTAAAGTGAAGTACCAGGCCCTTTCATGAGACCCTTCATATATATACATCCAGCCAAAGGATCATTTTCTGAAGATGAATATGTCTTGCCTTTTTCTTTCCTTCTTCCACTGAAAGAATATCTGAAATGCGTAATAGTTACGCTTAGAAATCATTGTGTTTAAGTTATTGAGGCAATCATTTCCCTAAACAACTACCACTGGGAGCTGTTCAGAGTTAATGCTTGGAAAACAAGAAAGGAAATGCCCCGGAGTATTAATAAACTTACAGTTTGTGTTTCTGAGGTTGCCAGTATTAAAAAGGACATTAAAGATCTCTTTGTACCAGATTCTGATTTCTTAAAATACACATCTTAGGTGTTTATTTCTTTAGTCTTGTTAAAAAGAAAGACCTTTTGACTGGCGTGAGCTTAAGACATCGCAATGAAGGATCAGTAATGAATTACCTTGTTAAACAGAACAGACTTAGAGAACTGCACCAGGAAGCCTCAGGTGCGCCTTAAGTAAATTTCTAATACTCTTACCATGCCCCTTATTGATATAAAGTATATTTGCTTGTGTGTGATCTCTTCATACATGTTGTGCCTAATGAAAACATGACATCAGGCTGAAAAAAATGGTATTCATCAATAATAAATACATCTGAACAGAGCTTAGAGTTGGTCTCTTGCAGTCTCCAAGGCAAGAGCAATTAGGAGCCATTGTTGCTAGAACAATTTTGATTTTTATATGGTTTCAAGCAGCAATCCTGGAATCTGCAGCAAAGCTTTCTATCTAAGAATACAACAGCCCGCATTTTTGAAGCTCGCAAATTCTCTGAATCAAATTAGGGATCTTTCATTAACAAAGCATGTGTATGAACACAGCTGATTCGCCTGTACCCACCTGTATACATCAGCTACGCAGAAATATGTGCAAGTATGAATCACTTATAGGCAAAGGTGGCAGTTAAGGCATGCAATTGGAGAATAACAGGTGCAGGGCAGTAGCTAAGGGTAGACAGGGAAGATGGATGCTCTGAAGAGCAGTTACCTCTCCATGAGGATGAGTAAACCCCTTGGCTATTCCACAGCTATGCTTCCCTGGCTGGGGCACGTGGATTACCTGCATACAGCACATGCAGGCCCCAAGCAGCACCTCCAGTCTTCTAAGCACCAGACTGTAAGTAGTCATGAAAGACTATGAATGAAACTGGGGGGGGGACAAGCAAGTTGCAGGTAAAAGTGTATGACCTGACAGATCTGAAAATGGAAAAGCTATTCCGCAGTGCACAAAAGCATGGGTCATCTGTTTATTCCTCCAGAAACAAACGATGGGAAAGCTCAGGATGGCTCTGTAAAGGAAATAATTACCTCACAAATACACTTGGGCCTTTGAGAAAGTCAGTGAGCACAAGCATGCCAATTATCTGGTGTGTATATTATACTTAGGTTTCCAAGAAGCTTTTGAGAAGGTTCTTCACAGAATCTCACTCTGCTATGGGCTACCATCGGACAGGATACCAGAACATGGAGACTTACTCAGCAAAGGCTCCAGGAGACTGAGCTGTCATAGGATGCAGAATGTCCTCTCATAAAGAAATAACTGTTCAGATAGGAACCCAAATACACTTTTTGTATTCTAACATTACCTTCCTTTGCCAGTTTGATTTTAACACAGAGATGGTGGTATTTCAGTGCTAAGCAACACTACTCTCCCCCTCATACATGTGCTGCGAAACTTCACATTCAAAAAGCACAGGGGTATGTTTGATCAAACAGAGCTACAGAAGGGAGCATTTCCACTGACACATCAGTAACAACCAGCCTGCATCCTCTCTGCAAGCCAGTAGGGAACCTGTGCAGCAGTTTGCTGCTGAGGGGAGCAAAGATTTGTGAGTATTTCAATTTCTCCCCAAGTCCTGCAGTCTTCAAGAAAAAAGCGTAACAATTTAAACATCAACATTCAACATCTTAAAAAGCAGACAACAAGGTGTCGTGCTTTAAGTGGGACTACAGTGGTCGCTACATAGAGCAGGCACATGCAACTTCCTAATGACTCAGCTGCATTAAGGGATATTTTTGTGGTGCATCTACTCTCATTAAATGGGACATATTTTTTTCTATACACCTTAGTAGTCCTCATGCGTGGAGAAACCCCACACTTTTCCAGCTATAGAAGGTTGGCATATTATTGTGAAGGAAAAGGGAAAGAGAATGGCAAAGCACAAAAATACAGAGACTCGAATAAGGTCTTACATGATTAGTTCTTTTTTGCCTTAAGCTACAAGGCAACCACTGCCTACTTTCCAGCGTTAATTTGCTTAGTGCAGCCTATGAGAATATTTAAGCAGCAGTTATTAGAGGGTAAATTACAAAATGTGTAAGTAACAAAAATGTCCTGTTTATATGCATTTTGCTCCTTATAGTGAATGTAAAATTACTGCCGTTTGATATATATCTGGCCTTTCCACCTCAAACAATGTGTCACGGTGTTTTAAGCTTCAATTGGCATTGCTCCTTAACAACTGAGTCCATCACTTAGGATTAGAAATTACTCTGAAATAAATCCTCAGGCTGTACCATTCAAACTGACTCTCTACTCTGCTACTGTTTGGAGAGGAAGCTGTATTTCCACTTCAGTCTGCACTCCCTTCATGATCCCTGCCTATTACTGATGATTTTACAACCCTATGCACAAAGATGAACTGGAATCTTACCACAGCAAGGAGAAAGAGCGTTTCCTCTTAGCTTTGCTCTCATCCAACATTTTTTTCTCCTCGCTGTGCTTTTAAGTGTATTTTTTCTTCTAGTAAAAGATACCCAACACTTGTTATGAAATGCATTATCTTGAACACAACCAAAATTTTGCCTGAGGGCTGTGATGGAAAACCCCAAAACCCTCAGGAGGCCCCGATCAGTCAAGTTCGAGCAAAAAGCATTTACCTTTTTTTTAACTTGGACGCATGGCCTGGGACTGCAGATGGCTTCAGCTTGTGCTACTTCTTAGTGCCTGGATCATACAATTTTCTGGCTAACATTCAATCTGTACTCTATTAGGCAAACAATACTTCCAAAGTGAGGCTTCCTTGCATCAGTATTCCCACACCTTTCAAGTGTCACAATTTAGTAAGTGAGGTGAGTGGCAGCTTGTGCTCAAAAATCCACACATCCATTTTTTTTAACTGAACAGCAGGATCCAACACTTTAAAATCCCATTTTACTCTCAAAATCTATTAATAACTGCCAAATTTATTAACTAACAAATTTATTAATGTATGGCTAATCAACACAAGAAAAAGAAATTACATCTAACATTATATTTAATTACATTATGGCATTGTATGGTTTCCTGTGGTACCTCAGCTTCATCTTACAACCTGGTACTGACTTCCATCTTTTGAGTTTGACCTCTCAACTTTCCAGGTAACAAAGATTATATACATACATGAAAGGAACAACATCACATACCTACCTCTGCTTAAAACATTACATGATAGAGGAATGTATTGTTACTGGAGAACAGTCACTGCTTTAGGGCATGAAGTTCTGAAATCCAGGCAGGGCTTACAGAAATGCTGCTCAACATGAGAGGCTGATAAACACCTAATATTGACAAATCAAACCCTCAGTGCTCCCACCTTTCATGGCAGTCCAATGGAAATGAAGTGCTACACACCTCTGAAAAATAAATCTTTTTTTTGGTTTGTTTAAAAATAGATTACCAAGTCTCAAAATAATTGCCCCCTTTTTAGTGAAATAAAGTGAAATACTCATTCACACACCTCTTCCAGAGAGCACAGTGGCACACAATGGGAGCAACCTCTGGCAGCTGTTGGTTCTCCACATTCGCATTGCCTCATGGATGCAAACTAGCCTGAAAGTCACTGTGAAAATCACCACTGTTTTCTATGTTGACATTAAAACCATAGAATTATGAGGTAATGTATCACTGATAATGATATTCATTTCCTCACTATGCTGGAAAAAACACTCCAGTTCTGCCAAAACTCTTCTATTTGCACATGCAGTATATGAGCAGCACCAGATAGGCTCTACCATTATTTTAACAGAACTACAGACAAACAGTTAGACACAAAGGATCACTTTATTTCTCAAATCACACCCCTCTCATTCATGAAAAGGTGCACTTCTAATTGTCACTATTTTAAATATATTTTCCTGTGAAGTGAAATACTTTAAAGAAAACTCCCCCAAGAAATAAATACAAAGCACAACAGTTTCACTTTATGATTCTTTGAGCATTGTCTGGTCCTGCATCTGCTCTGGCATGCTGCTCTTTGAAACCCTTAACAGAAAAATCCAGAGCCAGCCTTCCTTGCTTTCCAGAACCCTCTGCTTATCAACTTATTATACAATATTAGAGCATGCACAGAATATAGTTGTTTAATAATTCTATAACTTTTATTACACATGCACACATTGTTACTAAGGTTATAATTGTGATGTTTCTTTTTTTAGATGCTCATTAGAAAACTCTACATTACAAAATACTCATTTGATGATGTGCACATCTGCTGGTGAAAAGGAAATCGGTACTAACAGGGTTTGCCGGGTTGTTCAATGGGTAACTTACAAAACCAGACAATTCCCAAAGCTACTGATCAGATCACTGCAGCACAACCTGCAACCATCATTTTACCTGAAACCGAATTAGCCCAAATGGTTGGCAGTGCATATCTGTTGTGGAATAAAATGTTACCAAGGTCATCAGAACATGCAGGTGGGGTTTATTCTCCTATGATGAGCACAGTCCAATACAATAGCTCAGCTCCTGCTAACAGCCAGGAACAGAGTTCTGACAATGCAATTTTTATGAGGGCTGTCATGGCAAAAGAGAAGTGAAAGTAGTCCAGTGCAGGCAGTATCATGTTCCTTCAAGGAGCTGAGACCAGAAAGTTGAAGCACTACCCATAACAGAAGTTGCGCTCCTGAAAAGGTTTTCTTGAAAGAGATATCAGTACGAGCCTGAATGGGCATAGCTGTGAATTCATCCCAGCTACACACCTCACTGAGAAGGTATTCCTGAAAATGCAGTCAGGGTTTGGCAGGTTATTTTCACTACATACACATGCACCTAAACAACATTCAAAGACTACAACAGTCTGAAAACTTTAGCTGAAACTTGTACCTGTTCACAACAAGGTCTGAGGTAGTTTAGAACCACTCTATGCTTAGTAAATATGAGAAAGAAGGAAAGGGATGTAATGCACAGAACTTTCAAGGTGCAATGATAATTGCTACACAGAAGGGGAATGCAACTGTATAAACTACTGTTCGTCAAGAAAGGAGAGCACTGAGATAAATGAATGAATGAAAAAGTTCATTAAATGCTGAACTTTTAGCCTGGCTCCTTCTATTTAATTTATGACCTCTGAAGTAACATGTAACTTCATGAAGTAACATTCACTTTGGAAAGAAAACCAATGATAATAATGAAATTGAGCAAAGCAGAAAGGAAAGAAAAATTTACAAGGTATTGGAGAGGGTTAATGGACATGGGTGCCGAATTTATATGTGAATTTAACTTACGTAAGTCTGCACAAAGTCTGTCCTGCTACTTAAAACCTCTTACTGATTTTTTTCTTCAGGGTAACAAACAGACTGCAAAGAGATTATGAAAGCACAAGCTCCAAAAGGGCTACTATTTCCCATATCAACAGACAGCCAAATTTAAATTTTGCTCACCAGCACTTGACAGTCTAGTGGTTGTTGCCTTTAAAGTCTGATGTGAATGAACGGGGCTGAGGATATTTTATTCAGGATTTGACAGAGGTAAAAATAAACTAAACCCAAATCATTAATAAATTATAATTTGGAGGAAAGTTCCAGGGAACACCACAGCAACAGTGCTATGATGCTAGGTAGAGAGAAAAAGAAAGGAAATAACAAGAAGACTGGAGGAAGCATGTAGTAAAAATGAAGAGCTGTGAAGACTGGAGACAAACAGAACTAGCTCAGACCCCAAGAATCATTTCTTTGTGTTTCTCTTCCTATAAAAACCACTAAAGCCTTGCTCCTGACCTCTCTGCCTGCCCTTTTTTTTTGTTTGTTTTTAGCGCTGCCCATGCAGATGAGTGCTAGATTCCTTAACAAAATTTCCTACATTAAAAAAAAGGACATGTAGAAATACACCTCTGCAAACAGTCACTTCAATTTAGGTAACACATACATTGTGCATACATAGTCTTTCACCCAAATGATTCCTTGCAACTCCAGCTCTTCCTGTGATACATTTCTAATCTAGTCATCTAAGTTCCATAAACATATTATTGCATAAAAGCATTCACTTGAAGGATTTGCCTCTCAAAATCAGTGACGTAATTCCTGAAACAGATCCAAACCATGCAACACCAATGCCCTTATTATTAAAAATGGCATAAACAAACTTACAGAATGACCAAAACAGGATCCTGACCTGCAGAAAGCAGAAATCTGCCCCTATTCTCCAGCAATGAACCCGACCTGATTGTTTCAAAAGCTGTTTCTCAGCATGACAAATCTCTGTGAGAAATTGCTGTGAAGAATTCTACTATATCTTAGCAACTGAAAATAACTTAAAACCCCTAACAGACAGCTACAGAAGATGCCAAAACCCCAATTCTGTGGCCTGACCATGCTTCAAAAGCACAATCTAAAATTTTTACGTACAGACTTAACGTCTACTGTTAAACACATTTATCACATTGTAAGTATTAACCATAGATCACCTAGTAACTATAGCTCAGGAGTACAGAGACAACAGATGTGGCAAAGTGATATAGACCAAAAGTGATTTCCTGTGTGTTTCTGGCAGGTGTGCAAGCTCCCTGCTTTCTCTACAGAAAGAAGATGTGGTAACTATTCACTTGGATTACGTGGCACATAGTTTTAGATGCACAAACCCCCATCTGAACAGTACTACCGACCAACTTACTTGGTATTATAGAAGTCACCTGGTATTTTTTTGACACAGTATTTGCTGTAAAAGACCATACAGGTCAGTTTTGTAAATTCCTCAGACTACTTAATATAGACTGAGGTGGTTGATGTATATCTGCCAGTTTTCAGGAGTCACTGGGTAATTCTGAAAATCATGAGAAACTGGGTTAACTTTCTTTTATCTAATGGATGAGTATCTGCATCAATAGAATAGATGTGACAACATGATAAATACGAAATATGTGAGCAAAAGTTCTAATGAGGAAAATATTTTATGTTCTACCAACAGTGCAGCTCTCCTCCTCTACAATAGCCCAGGACCTAAAGTAGCTGGAAGCATTGGAGAGGCATATTTACACCTTTGTAGGGATAAGCTGCCACTCATTCAGATTTTAGCCAAAGTGATCTGAACTTCCATGATGTAATGAATCAATTACAGTTTTTTTCAGAACACTGAGCTGAACTCTTCTATTAGGCTGGAAGAAAAAGGAAAAGAAGTAATGCTGTTATGTCTGGCTGGGTAATAATGTCTGATGCCAAGCGTGGGCAGAACTGATTCTTCACTTCCACCATTTGTATGCATCATAGCAACTAAACACAGTATTATAAAGCTGGTATGTAGTTGTACTGGAAGTCACTCTATTGCTAAATACCTGTAGTTTCCTCGTATTAGACTACTGTTTTTAGTTTGGTCTTGGTTTATTTAAGAAAAGTTGCAGTTTAAAACTATTTTTCTAGTAAACATTTTCAAAATTAAACACAGATGCAGATCCCATCATGGAATATGGGTGGGACTTTGACATTACTTCAGCCAAAGCTTTGCAATGAAAACTTGTGAAGGGCCAACAAAAAGTCTGCAGGTTTTTTTCAGCAGGAAACAAAAATCCTATGAAGGCTCACTTTGTAAGCACTGCAAGCCATAGCATACAAGGTAGCTAGGAGGAATACAGGTGTGTTCTCTGGACTGCACCTCTTTAAGATGAGCATTTAACTTGCTCTATTTTATACAACTCTCTATAGTCAAATAACAACTGGGCAAAACCCAGCTTTGGACTTGCTCACCCATACCTTGTTTAGACATTTGCATTTTTTAAGCAAACATCAAATACAGTCAGCATTCCACAACAGCAGCACTTCACACCTGCCTGCATGGAATTTTTTTTTTTTTTCCCAGTTTTGGAGCCTTAGAAGCTATTCTAAATTCAAGCCAAATAATTAGCTACTAGCTTAATTTAACATATGCATATATATGAACATTTAGGTACACCTAAAACTTGACACAGGACTTTTTTCTGAATCCTGAGCAAAGCTTTGTGGAGCTTATACATATACATACATATATATATATATGTCTCATTTAGCTAGTTCAACTGACAACAATGAGTTCAAAAAGAACTAAGGATTCTAACCTAAATACACCATTAACAGAAACGGGAACCATGCCTCAAGCATCCTCTGGGTTCTAGAAATTATTATTTCTGAAGCATGGTTTAGTCCTCTGGCATAAAATGTTTACTCTTGAACACATTAACTCTTTCTGGCTCTGATTATTTGCTGACTACAAATAGTAAAATTACCAATGCATTCACTTGTCCATTTGACAGTGTATTTACACACCTGTCAAAATCTAAGCCAATTAATACTTTCATAGAGAAATGCAAGGTCTACTTTCTGTGAAATCACATCTAATTCCTTATCGAGCGTCTCTGAGTGAGCATCACTGTATAACCAGAACCACTAACACAAAACAGACAAGAACAGCATTAACTTTGTCTTCTAATTTTCATACTGACTCTTCTAAATGAACAATACATCACTGAATAATGAGTAGATGCTCGCATGCATTTGGTTGAAAAACTTAATTTACTTAGAGTGGCACAATTATGGACATCTCTCACTTTCTTTCATGGAAACCAGCTCATCAAATCAGATACTAAACTGAAAACTCTCTAATTTAATGTTATCATTAGTAAAATTGAAGATGCATTAAATTCATTTGAATTTTTCAGCAATACTGTGAAGCACTGAGCTTGTCATAATAAACAAGAAAAACTGATTTTCATGAGGAAAAAAAGAAATTGAGCTCTGAAAGAAGAGAATGGCAACAAAGAACCATTCCTTCTCTAACAAAATGGGTGATTCCTCCTCTGTATTGTCTTTTACATTAGACATGGATTAACTTTGCTCATTGTAGCTCCATTTAACATGCCATTTGAGTTTGGTCTAGAGCTGATTGGCAATGGCTGCACAGTTTTTGCTCATTTCAGAAATTAATTTTCCCAGATACGTTTGGCTGTACATTTCCATGAATAAAAATCTTTTACATGCACTTGGAATAAATTAATTAAATAAAGATACTTTAAAAAGAGCTTTACTGAGCTCCATGAGTTGAGTCTGTCTGAATTCAACCTATGGAAGAAAAACTGAGAAAATGAGTCCAGTGGAATTTAAAGATAGTGAAGTATTAAATAGAAATAATGGCTCAGTAGTGACAATATAGTTAGTTCCTTTATGCAGAAATCTAGCAGCAAGTCTACTTTATAGTTTCTGACTTAGAAAGCAATGAATACCTGGTCAGTTCTGCTCTACACCTGTTGAAATAAAACATGAGTGATAACAGTTCTGAATAATTATAGTATTTCATCACTCTGATAAACTCTGCTATAAAGCTGTAACAGCACAACTTCCACTGAAGAAAAAAAAAAGTATTTCAGAGGAATATACAAGAACCACATATGAAATCAGGAGGCAGTAAATACAGACAATAATTAGAAAGAATGAGAACATTCACATCAAACCACTAATTAGTTCTATGTGGTATCTTCCTTTGCCACTAGTAATATGCTGCTGACACAATGTTTGAGAGACCTCTTTTAGGCAATACAGATATTAGGGGTGTTTGCTGGAGGACAGTGATAGAAGACCAACAGCAGTTCAGATCCCTTAAACATTTCAACATTATTTCTCTGAATAAAAAGGTAAAGGATTCCCACTAGAAAACATGAAGTCTGTCTTAAATGCCTGGGAGCTCTGTGATCACATTGGACTCACCCCAGTTACAGATTCTGAGAAGAACAGAAGAAAATAAAGACATTAAGAAAGGCCATGTGTGACTGAGAATCAGACTAATACTAAAAATTTATATTCACCTGTATAAAGGGACAATGCAAAGTTTTTAAGTTGTGATTGATTTTGTGGGGACTGGAAGGTCTGTAGTACTTGATAACTTTTGCTTTGGGAATTGCTCAGATCTGTTGCCTCAGATTCTAAGCAGAAGGTGAACGTTATGGGAAATAAACAGACATTTCAGTACAACAGTGAGTCATATGACAACATCAAAAAGACTTGCAGTAGGTTACAGTCTACAAGACTTATTTTTATCATAAAAATGAATTCTGCAAAAAGATTACAAGCTGAAAATCCTGTTCTTTCTCCAAAAGCCTGGACTCAGAACAGCTGGCACTAACTTATTAAAATCTTATTTATTTTTTTAAACGGTCTATAATGGTGACTACTAAAGACTCAGAGCTAGGAAGTTATGCCCTTTGCTCAAACTGCAAAGAAATACCACCACTAACATGGAAGAACTTATCTATCAATGACAAGACATGCTCCATGCTTCATAGTACTTTTAGCATGGATTACAACCAGAACTGGAAAGTAAAGCCAGAACGCTTTTCTAAGGAAGTAAAAAAAAAAAAAAAAAAATCCAATTTTTTTTGACCTACATTTAAACAAGAGTTGTGTCCCCTGTAACTGGTCTCAACTATTTCATGCTCTAAAGGCTGTGAAGCCATAAGGTAATCAGCACCCTAGACTAGGTGCTAGCTGGGATGAGCAGTATCCTGCCTCGGAACTCCAGAGTGCCTGAGGCTGCTGTGGCAAATATTCTAAGCTATCTGTAATGCAGTGGGCATGCATCTTCACTGACAGACATTCACAAGTCAGAAGAGACAGCAACGGGGAGGGGACGGCATGCAAATGTTAGAACTCAACTGCAATTTGGCAATGAGAAATAGTATATTATTATTGATAAAGCCTAATCAATTCTATTTGAATCATGAAAAAGGAAGCTTTTCTCCTCTGAAGTTTCTACTGATTCATTGCTACCACTTGTTATATTTCTTTCTGGTTTTGCACAACCAGTATCCAACAGGGAAATTCTTTCAAATTAACTAGTGTGATAAATTAACATACTATTTCCTATGTTGATAAAACTCACTTTATCACTATGGTTATGCAAAGGAAAACCATATTTATCCTACACTAGCTTTGTTTTCTTCTGACAAGGCTATTTGTCACCACAAGAAATTCCAAGTTCATAAAACTGGATGGCTGACATTTCCAATATAATATGCTTTGTGAGGAGCAACAGCCCTCCTAATCAATTTAACCAATTATATCAGTGTTTGTCTTAATACAAAATCACTTTATCCCATACTGAAAGACTGGAATGGAGCTCTTCCGAAAAGCCACATGGATCTGGAGAGTAAGAGACTGCATCATCATCAATGTGGAAATGCTTAAAATAAGCAAAGTAGCAGGTAGTGTAATCCAGACAGACACAGATGGATAACAAATTCTGTGATTGCAAAGTAAAAGCCAGATCTTTTACAATGCTGCGTAAAGCATCATATTTTATGAAGATTATGTGAAAGGTTTGTGCACATACGCACATATGAATTTTCAGCTTTAGATTGTACAACATTTTTTACTTAGAAAAAAAAAGTTATCTGCAAATTCTTCTTTTTATGTTTGAACAACTGCCTGTCAGTGACCAGTTGCAGTTCCGCTTTTCTAAACCATTTTTGATGATCTGGTGCAAGTTTTCTTGGAAATACAGATAAAATTTAACTAATCATCTTCAGGAACAGAAACTACATTTTTCTTCAAGGTAGATGCCTGAATTAGGAATTCCCCTTTTGAGTGTAATAAATGACAATTTTGTACTTTGACAAGTCAACTAAGGTCAAGACTAATACAGCATTCATTAATTAGTTTGTTGATATCATGAAGGCTTTTCTTGTCATCCCACTGATGAATGAGGGAATTTTCATCTCAGCAGGTAAACATGTTTGATACTTCCTTAATCTACTGCACAGCATTTGCTACAGCCAAAAATAAGAGACATAGTGTAATACAGAGTCAAAACAATTTAGGAAACAGATTACTAGTTACAAAGAATGTGAATGAAGAATAACTTTTAAAAATAACATATTCTGGACTGATGTGTTCCAAAACATTCTCTTTGCTAATGGGAGCCTTCAGGGAACAAATACTTATATACCTTTCATTCTGCTTGAGTCATTTAAGATTTCCACTGTAGCTCTGCCTTTTTTTTTTTCTTCTGTTCTCCTTGCCTTGGTTAGATTAGAGAGGTAGGGTGTTAATGGGATACTTGATGAAGATTGAAGACCTATTTTCTCCCCCCTCGGAGACCAGCCTGATTTGAACCAATTGAGGAGAGTGAAGCAGACTCTTCATGTCCTTGGGAAAAGCCTTTTCCATTTCAGCATTTCCAGCTTTCAGACATGGTCCCCTTTGTTCAAAGAGAGAAAGAAGAAAAGGTGCCAGCACAAGAAGGTTCCGAGTATCATTCTATGTAACACCAGCAGGGGTGCTAAAACCACTTTTCAATCTCCTTTATGGCTGGTGAGCATGTGAACGCGAGGTGGATCCAGGAGGGGAATGCAGGGAACTAGTGCTTGCAGCTCGAACAGGGCGAGAAACAAGCTGTTGTCCACCAGTCCCGACCTCTGTTGCTGCCACTTCCTTACTACTCTCATCCTTGTGGGTACTGTTTTGTGCTGGGCACTCAAAATGCACACAGTGAAACACCTGGAGAGAACAAAGAAATGAAGATAAGGCAAAACAATTAAATGCTGGCAAAAGCATGATCAGAGTAAGACAGAATATATATGGAAGTATGCAGGCCAGATCATTGCCAAAGTACTTAGTCAAATTAGAATGTTTCACCATGCAGTCAAAAACAACTATTCACGGGCCATAAACATACTAACAGAGGTATAAATGGAGTAAGAGAAGGCTTTCAAATAATACCAACCTTTACATATGGTGCCAAAATTCAGAGATGGTTACAAAGCATACAGAGACATTTGTATATGATTTTTTCTTTGACAAGTAGTATAAATATCTACTACATGGTATCAGATGACAACAACTATTATATTGTCTTAAGCGTATCTTATGATCTAATTACTTCCTCAAAAGACTGAATATTCATGCACACTAGAAATGAAATTTAAATCATTATGAATATGATTCTATTTCAAGATTGCCCTCTGCTGTAACAGCAACAGTAGCTCTACAGACATATCTTGGAGTATGTAGAAAAGCATTCAGAGCATCCAAGAAGGCTGCTGCTTCATCAGATGAAATACTCCACTTCAAACAGTGATCATTTTCTGATTTTTCAAACAATACCTGGGACCCCTGTGCAGGTGAACGTGTCTAAAGAGTAAGAGGACTGTATGTTTAAGCATTTTTTCCAATTTATTTTCTACTTTACTTACTCTTAATTCTACTTGTTCTTGAAGTGCCCGAGAGAAGGGGGAGGAACTCTCTAAAACTGCTACAAAGCTTCTTTCCATGTGAACTCTTTGTTGCTATGAATTGCACAGCTCTGTCATGTACTAAACAAATGTTTTCTTATACTAAATTAAAATCTGCTATTTTCTCATGCATAGTAGTTTTATAGCTAAAGCTTAATGAATATTAAATCCTGAATTTTAAAAATCATGTTTTAACTTAATTCTGTATGCTTTTATGACATTTTCTATTATTCTTCCTGCAAGTAGATCGTGTCTTTAAAGCTATTCTCACAAAGGCAGTATTTTAATCTTAACTGTCCTTTCCCAGACCCTATCAAATTAATGTGTGCAAAAATCAAATACCATAAAGAAGACACAGGTATACTACATATTCATACAAGACTACAGAATTTTATATTTTCTGTGCTTTCTGCAATACAACTGAAAACCCTATCATTCTTTCTGAGCACCCCCATTCGTGCACATTGAACAGAGTGCAGCAACACATCTGCAATAGCCCCAGGGTCTTTTCTGTTAAGGTAGCTAGTTAATTCCAATTCTGGCAGCATACACGAAATGAAGAGAAAACCATATTTAGTCACTGGGGGTTTTTTAACCCCATTATATTGTCTTGTGCCTCTCAGTGTAAGAATTCTTGCAGGTTTTTATATTTTTTATATAGATACATAACAATGCACATTTATATTTCTATATATAAATACATGCTCAAATAAAGATGTATTGCTATGCCTTTATATATATATATATATGAAGAGATTATAAATCTACACCCATACCCACACATAGACATATGTGCACAAATGGTTTTTCTCTGCCTTTCTTCTGATGAGTTTTTTTCTAAAGCTGGACTAATTTCTACGGTGGCATGAATTCTCTCCATCTGTTTACAGTTTTTGAGACGCCAATTTTTGCATTCAGCTATGCTTCTTCAGAAGCTCCTTTTATATGCATTCCACTCTCATATAAAGTGGGATGTAAAGTAAACAGCTTTAAAGTAACAGCTATTTTTTCAGCTGCTTGTATCAGCATCAAGACATGAAGAAAACAGTATTATCTCACCAGTGCCACCTCAGTAAGACACTGCTTTCCTTTAAAGGCAGCACAGCCTAATGAATGTGATGGAGATCTCAAAGTCACATGATTCTATGTTTCTGTTGTATTGAACACCAGTAGTGTTTTTTATTTAAAACTTCACTTTACAAATGAATGAATGCTTTTTAAAATACAGTATGGATAAGACTACAGCTTAGCTAACACTAGTCTATAAAGTCTGAAGTTCCCGATTCTTAAATTGTAACTGTCCTTTTTACTGATTCTTTAATACTTAATGCTCAACTCAACATTTGGTACATTAACAAGCCTGTGAATTTACAACACTGTTTGCAGTTACTCTGCCACTTCAATAAGCATAGTACTGCTTGTGAAAGAAGCAGAGAGCACAGAAGTACAGTTGAGCTCATCTGCTTCATCTAGTATCAGAATTACCTATTTCAGAACAATATTACTAAAGCAAACAATCCTGCATGTGTTTCTCTCAAAAGACAGAGATGAAACTTCAGCATCATCTTGTGGTCAACAGCATGGTATACTTCTCACGGAGATCTTAAGAAAAGTCTAACAAATAAAGCAGGAAGGCCAAGTACATATACACTGGTGCAGTAATTTGTAAGATAAAGCTCTCACATCAGCAACTATGTGTCCTTTCCAGGTCAGTAATACTGAAGAGGAACAAGATAAAACTTAGTTGAAGTATTAGGTGACCTTTCTGACAAATAAATGATGGCAAGGACTAAGAAAAAATAATCCTCTTCTTTATAAAAGCAGGATGTCTGGAAGTCAGGTCAAAAAAACCCCAAAACCCTAAAAAAAAAAACAACCAAACCCCAAAAAACCCATCAAAATCCATGAACAACATGTCTTTCAAAACTTGGAAAACATGGCATCTGAAACAGTAAGTTTAAAAGATGAAATAATTCACAGAATAGAGAAATATTATGGGATTTTTTTTCAATCCCCAAAATCAGCTCTTCCCTTTGGAAAGTGCAGACTGTGTTTCAAAGTTCAAAGGTATATATTAGTAAAACAAATAGGGACTATTTTTGTACCTATTACAGTAAAACTCCTTGATGAGAACATGCTGCCATTAGCATCTACTGCTTAAAACGAGAGTGGCTTGACATAAAATAAATACAGACAGAAGCGGGTAAGTAAATCTGGAAACTGCTTGTGTTCCTACCGAAGAGACTACTGAGACTATAGACTCCAGAACAAACTGAGAATTTGGCTACACTGTTATTAGTTACATTGGAAGTATGAAAAATATCTTGATACCTGATTTGGAAAATGAAAATTTATGACAAAATGTTACAGAGCATCTGTTTAATGCAAATAAAAAATGTAATTCAGTAACAGGTACATGCTGATCATGTTCTTCCTCTATACAATCTTTAGGAGAAATAATAAAAAAAAGTCTTGCATACAGATTTAAAAGACAAAAGAGCAAAAGACCTAGGACAGCAGCATCTGTTTATAGTTCCACTGAGCCTCTATATGAACAGCTGTAACTTCAGTCTGCACATACTGATCTTTACTACAGTTATGCAATGCTCCATATAAATAACTATTATATTCCTTGGAAATAATAACCAAATTGAAATTAGAATTATGTTTAAAAGCCAATTACTCTTCAGGGCTTAAGGCTACCTTTGTGAATCAAAAGTTGGAGGTAATGTTTCCCATAGGCTGATTTGCTAAGTTTAAACACTGCACCTCATTCTTTTTTAATAGAGATGAGAACTTACAGAGACTGGCATGAGAGCAAACAAGACACTCTGTATGAATCAGTAATGGAAAAGGCCTTCTTCATGCATCTACAACAACCCTGGAGGCAGCTTCTGATTCTGTAGTTTTAAGAACTCACCGATTAAGATTGAAGTGTACACTGCAAGAGACAGTGCTTAGGAAAAAAAGAACGGCTTTCTCAGTTCAGTTGATTGGTCAGCTTCTTTCCAACTGTCTGCCAAGAACTAATGTTCACATCTGGTGGGGCATATGTTTGCAATAATTGCTCAAAAATTGGACATAAGCAATGCTATTTGACAATTCTCCCAATGCTTAAGAACCAGCAACCCCATAATGCTGAATATGACCAGAAATTGTGACTCCTACAGTTGACAACCTCAAATTACTACAAATTTAATAGTGCTATTCATAGTTTATTGTAAAGTGTGAAAATACAATGATTCGTGGTGAACTACATGTATGGGATGGAGAGATGCCTGCATACACACAGAAGCAGCAGCTTTTGGTGTCTCTTATAAGCTCAGCATCTAAGGTCCTAATTTCCCAAAGACTTACATGCAGACTTAAATTCACATATTGTAAATTGTTTTACTGAAGTAATTTGTAAAATCCGGACTTCATCTGACACAATACACAACAATTACAGAAGACAGAAGCACAAGTAAACAACGAAAGGATGATACTGCACTTGGTCAGTCAGGGAAAAATATTTTTCTGTATAAAATGAATTGAAAAGAGTCTTTTGGTTTGGAGACTACTGGTAAATGATTTACCAGATATGAAAATTAACTATAAGAGAATCTTATGCAAATAAGATGTTTTTATGAAGACTGAGATGCTTCTTATGATTTATTCATTAGAAAGAAAACATAAAGGTGAAAGAAACAAATAATCAGAGACTATACACATTTCTCCAGTGCACTAAAATGGTATTTTCATCATATATCAAGTAAGGATTAATTTAAAACCAAACCCAAAAGGAATGTTTGCTGGCACTATGGAAAGGGCAAAACCAGAAGCACTTTACTTTGCAAAACCCAGACTAGCAACAATCCTTCAAATCGAGAAAGACAGTAACACAGTTCACAAGTACTCCAATACAAAAGTCATTCATTCTTACTTTGCTAGGTTGCCAGAGAAAGAAAAATGAAGCGAGTACATTTTAGAATGCATTATCAATTTCATTGCAAGATATGGAAAACTGTGCTACTGCATATTCATGAAGAATACAGGTTTTCTTAAAAGTTCCTTACCTCATTAGCTGTGTTGTGCGTTCCGACTATTCTGATAAAAGATGCAGGCTGTTTATCAAAAGTGATTGTTTGCCAGGATCTTAAAAAAAATTCCAAAGACATACCAATATTAAACACAGTCACAACAGCTTGCAGTAAAATATACAGAACCCATTCAAGTGACATTACGTACTATTATCACTTAATACGGTAAATAGAGAAACACTTTTCATCACCCAAAGTTCCAGCATTCCTTGTTCCTTTTTATTTTTAAAGTGCTTTGACTCTGCTTGCATGTTTTCATAGATACTGTATGCTACAAAAAATTTGTATGCAGGAATAATACCCATACTATTGCTCATAGGTAAAAAAATGGTAAAAGAAAAAAAGCCTGAATCAAAGTCTAAAATCCTTGACCAATACTGACTTGTTAGATAAACAAAAGATCAGATAAGTAAAAGTTAATGCATCCACCTGTTAACTACTTATGAAAATTCATCAGAGCTTGATTAAAGAAATTACAACTCTAGGGAAAGAAAATCACACACCCCCAAAACCTCAAACTCCTTCTACTCTAAGTGGAGCAGTCGAGGCAGAAGAGCCAACCTTCCCTTGTGCAGGCCAAGGTCCTTCCAGTAAATTATAGCTGACATACAGCATTCTTTGCAGTTCAGGCTGTATTTCCCCATTCTGACACAGAAGCAGTGGGGAGAACAGGCCAACACCCAGAGCTGGAGTGTAACCTTTTGGGCTAGACTGAGAGCAGCAGTAGATTGGGACCACTATAATTTTCTTTCCTCATTCATACTCTTCCAATCTGGGTGAGGTACACCACCTCAATCAGCCTAATACACAGCATAAACCCAGCAATTCTTACCATACCTTTGTGTATGGTATTCATGTAATACCTTTACAGAATATACTGAGAGTTAAAACAGAAGAAACAAAAAGAATAGTGGGAACTAGAGGTTTCAGTTTGATGCCAGTCTTCCACTACACTAGATTAGTACTTGAAAACATTAGAATTTAAATTATTTTGTATTAATTAAATGTGAAAGCAGGATACATAATTTAACACTTTTAGCAAAACTAGACTGTCACAGAAGGCTTCAGAAATAAAATGGATATACTGATTAACTCATTACAGAAGAAGAATATGGGATAGTTTTCCTGAATGTGTTCAGAACACCTTTGGCAGTGTTCATGTAGGAAATAAGGGACCAAAGCAAAACGAGTAAAACAACACTTGGCACCAGCAGACTACCCCAAAGCCTGGCAGGATGAGCTGCTTGGTTTCTGACTATTTGTCAAGAACTTGAATTATCCCTTAGTAGGAAAACCTCTGTCACAAACATAGCATTTCTGGGTTTAATTTAGTAGACTATTACTTTTATCACTGCTGTCAGGTTATATTTGCTTAAAGAAGATTATGAGCCAAATCAAGACCTAATTTCAAGTAGTTCACTGGTATTACTGCATGAAGTAATGGATGTAATTAGAGTTACTCATCATAATAGAAAGGTGCAGTCTGTGTCAGGCCTCAGAGGTACAGCAGTTATCTTCAGTTATCTACCTAAGGGCATAGTTTATTTATATCCCTTACATGGCTATGTCCTTCTCATTTTAAATTTCAGGGTGTTTCTTCAAGCTCTAAATAAAATATAAAATAAGAATGAACTGTTTTGTTGACTGTCTCAAGACCTGAAAGACTTCTATGATTTAAACTTTTTTTTTTCTTAAACATGGGAAAATCTCTCAAGTTTCCTACTAATATTACAGGCAGGCAGTTTCTCTTCATGGCCGAAGGTGAGTGGCTGATGACTGCAACACTACTTCTCAAAGTATTGCAATAGTGTGTATTATACACATGCTTTCACATTTACGCACACACACTTTATGCAGAGAGTGTTGATGTAAAAATCAGATTTCTCTATTTATTGGTTTGGAAAATATTCTGAAACTATTATGAATAAAAGAGTTTAAAATCCCCCAGAAGCTGGGCTTGTTCAGTCTGGAGAAAAGGAGGTTCAGGGCAGACCTTGTTGCTCACTACAACTACCTGAAAGGAGGATGGAGAGAGGAGATGGCTGGTCTCTTCTCCCAATTAACAAGTGATAGGACAAGAGGTAACAGCCTCAGGTTGTGCCAGCACAGTAAACTGGATATCAGGAAAAACTTCTTCACTAAGAGGGTGATCAGGCATTGGAACAGGCTGCCCAAGGAGGTGCTGGAATCACCATCCCTGGAAGTGTTCAGAAAGTGTGTAGGTGAGGCCCTCAGTGACATGGTTTAGTGGTGGACTTGGCAGTCCTGGGGTAACGGTTGGACTTGATTATCTTAAAGGTCTTTTCTAGCCCAGCTGATTCTATGATTTGATGACAAGGTCATGAAGAAGCTATCAGAACTTACTTCTCCCATAAACTGGTGTTGTTGGTTTTGGACTTTCTGTATCTCTGTGATAAAGAAAGACTCCTTATTACTGAACCTGTAACAAATAAATTTTTCAGGGTTTAACTTTTTTAGATATTCAGGCAGCGTTGGTCTTTTTCTTGGCTTTCACATCTGTCTTGCTGTTTGATTCCTTTTAGATTTGCTGCTCAATCTGAAGCAGCCCTGGTCATCACTTTCACAACAGAAATAATCACTGCCTCAAACTGAGGTTTACATCTCTCAAAGACTTGGGACTACCAGCCTACTCAGATTTATACCAGGGTCCTCAAGCTGAAATGCAGCACAAGTTGTTTGGCTAGTAAAGGTCTCCTGATACCACAGCTCCATTTCCCAAGAGAAATTACCCTTGTTACAGTCCTATGGTGATTTATTTAACACTCAACATCTCACCTCAGCCACCAGACTTCTCTCTTGTTCTGCCTGACACCCCTAAGGAGATGCAGTAATGGATGATTAGCATTCCACAGCCATGCTTGCATCCTGTGAGCCTGTCATATTTAATTACATTTTAACTATATTCGTCTTCTATAATAGCCTGAACATAATTCAGATAATTATCTTTTGCTCTCTTATTCTCTGACTCTGCCTGTCTCAGAGCTCCTCGCAATAAAAATCACTTTCTCTGCTCAAACACATAAATAGACTCTTGGGCCAAGTGATTTCATCTCTCCAACAGCAACAGCTGTCACGGAGAACTCTATGGCTTTGTACATTCCACAATCTCTTCACCATATTCTATTCAGAGGAAGAAGAAAATCATTAGAAACCCCTCCACTTTCATGTTTCTTCATCTCTTTTTCTTTATTAGGCTATTGCAAGAAGAATGCAAGGAATACTCATGTCCAGGTAAATTGTAACAATAACTTGCTATTGCTTAAGCTACTATAGCTCCAAAATAGCAATTCACCTCTTAAAAAAATTAATAGATTTTTTCAGCATTTGGAATCCTTGCCTAGCTACAACTATGAAAAGCTGCTATCTTTCTAAAGATTTATTACATATAATAGGCTATAAATAGCAACCCTTCCGCATTATTTCCTCATCTTCCAGAAAGAACAAATTAAGAAAGAAGCGGAAGCTTATCTTTTACTGAGGTTTTCTAATCAGCCACTGGCACTACAGAATAGTTCCATGCTGTGAGATCACCACAGCATCACTGATTATAGCTGAAACCAAATTGAGATGTAAGATGAAAGAGAAATCCGCTACATGTAACTAACATTCAACAAGCTGCAACTGTTCATTCAACAATTGTAACTGCTTCAGACTAAGCATGTACTTTTTATGTGCGCACATTCTTTGTCCTCACTTTCCAAGGTGACATATAACCTCCATTTTCTGTTCCCCACTCCAAGAAGAAAAGCAAAGCAGAGTTGGAAACAAATGTGGAAATGAACACCACACCCTAAAATATGTCAAATATCAAAAAGTAACCTCTAATTTACTTTCTAATATTTGTCCACATATGCCTCATTCTATACAGTAAATGACATAATATTTTTTTACTTATTTGGATACAGACTTCTTCAACTTGAAACATATATAACATTTTAAACACAGTGCTTATTATGATGAAATACTGAGGAGATACTTGTAAAAGCAGATGACACGAAGAGTTGCATTGTGTTTCCATACATCAGTCTATGACTGTACTGATGTAAACAAGGCAGCAAGTATCTAGCAAGTGGTGCTGCCAAACAAAAAATTGTGTGCACAGATATACAAGCCAACAGAGACTCAAGAAGTACCATAGTATGTTCTGCATGATGTACATGGTGCTACACCCCTTGGTTTATGAGCACAGAAATGTGCACTAAAAAGGCTGTAACAGTTATTGTTATACAGGCATTTTTCTTTGTAAAATACCAAAAAGGTCTGCAGCTATCTTATAAAGTGCCTATAAAAAACATGTTTTCCACCATAACAGTACTAAACAATAAAGTGAAGTAGTACTCCCTCTCCTATTAAAGCTGTAATTTAACAATTAATTCAGAGTCAGACCCATAAAGCACAGAAGTCAAACTGGGTACCTGGCTCAGCCTCCACTGCCTTTCCATCCCAAGCCAGAGGGGGAAAATAAAGCATGAGGAGGAAAATATTACACAAAATCAATCTATATTTTGGGTTCTAAATTAAGTAAAATTAAATGCAGTCCTACCCCTGGTCTACTCAACTCAAAACTGAGACCTGTTTCCATCAATTTTGCTGTCACCATAACAGCACTCTCTACAAAGGTAGCCCATCAAATGTGGCACTTCCAAAGAAGCAAGGAAGGTGCAAGCTAGAAGTAACAGCTTTTTCTCTGCAGCTCTCGGAGACAGAGGTAAAACTCATGGTTGTATTTATGCATCTTGGTTATATTTATGCAATAGTCCATTGATGAGATAGCAATATATTTTATCCAGTCTCATTAGGAGAAAAAAACAAGCCGAAAAGGACTTGAAGTACTAATGGTAGCAGTAATAAAAAACGGTTAAGAGAAATACACTGACAATCTAGAATAAACGTGAGAATAAATAATACTAACGATCACCTGTCACAATATTTGTTACATAACAGCTTTATATATTGACAAGTAAAAATCTGCACTCCCACCTTCTGGGAAAACTCCCCTCAAGTTTCTATCCTAAACACAGTTCCCATAGGGAA